AAAGTAGAAAAAGAACTCTGCAGAAATAAAGTTTTGCCCTATTTACAGGAACTCACTCTCATTCCAAGTCTGGTTTAATTAGAAGAGATGACTTCATAAAGATTCTAGCTCAGGAAAATTATAAACTTCTAGTACTAAGATGTTTCCTAATGTTTATCGTGAAAAAAACTTGAGTGGCCATAACACATTTTCCTCAACATGAAAAATATCAAAAAGTTTATACAACAAGCACAATTGCTTTTATAATCAAGAAAAAAAGAAAATATAGCACAAAATGGGAATGTGGCTAGGCACAGTGAAGCCCATCTGTAATCCAGTTACTTGGGAGGCTAAGAAAGAAGGATTTCAAGTTCAAGGCCAGCACTGGAAAATTTTCAAGACCCTGTCTCAGAAAAGAGCTGAGGATGTAGTTCATTGCTCCTGGGATTCAATCTAACGTACTGGGGGTTGAAGGAAGAATATTATTACTTATTTCTCACTGAAGTTTACAAAAATATAGCTAGTATATTACTACTATAAAACACTGTTAAACCCTGCCTTTTCCAAAATACATAATGTGGCATGAACACTTCTAGGACTCAAAAGAAACAACTTAAAAGGAAATTTCAGAGAATGTGCTTGCTTTGGCAGCACATATGCTAAAATTGGGAAATTCAGAGAAACATTTCAAGAATTCTGCTACATCCACCTCCCTTTCTAATAAAGATCACAAACCAAAGCAGTACTGATTACTAGGAGAGATCTAGTTTGGCTGTCTGTGGTTGTCAGGAGGGATTCTATTCAGGGACCACAATTCATCAGAAGTGAGCTTAGTAACTCAATCACAATAATGAAGAATCTAGTTTTGGGGGGCCAAAATATCCCAAAGTAATTAAAAAGTAAAAAACTTTTTATTCCTGATCCTCTTCGTTCCTAACAAGGTGGGAGAGAGACACACTACTCAATTTCTCAGAGCCAAAAAGTTACCTGGAGCTTAGCACTTGGCATCTTAGTACTAGAAGTTTATAATTTTCCTGAACTGGAATATTTATGAAATCACCTCCTCTAATTAAACCAGACTTGGAATGAGAGTGAGTTCCTGGAGATAGGGACAAACTATTTCTGCAGAATTCTTTTTCTACTTCAGAGTGATAGCTTTCAGGTAAATATTTAGAAGAAAACAAACTAGTAATTTTTTTTTTTTTTGAGACAGGGTCTTGTTATGTAGTTCAGGCTAGTTGAATTATCACAATTTCTCTTACATGAGAAACTCAAAATATCAATAATGTAAAGACCAAAATAAAAGAAGAGAGATGATAGGAAACAGAAAGGTGGAGCTTGTGGAGATAGGAAATAGATCTGAGGAAGAGAGGAAAGGAAGGATGAGACAGAGGAATAAAAATGATCAAAACATGATAGCCACATGTACCAACTGCTCAAGATAAATGTAATTATTATGTACTGCAAATACTAGTAATAAAAGTATTTTCATAATTCCATAGAGAAAATCACATATAAGGAAAGTTTATACACTATGAAAGATAGTGCTAGGGCCAGGTATTTAGCTCAGTGGTGCTGCCGCTTGCCTCGAAAACACAAAGTCCACAGTTTGATTCCCTGGTACCAAAAAAAAAAAGTGCAAGACACAAAGTCAGAATGGTAGTGATGAAGATCTACAAAGAAAAATCTAAAGAACTATTATAAATCTGTTAAAGAATACACAATCATTATCAAGTAGAACTGTTTTTGCTACAACTGAAAATGTGTGTAAAAATGGATCAAACAAGCTGGGTGAAAATGAAGCACTGCTGTCATCTCAGCTACTTCAAAGGCTGAGGCAGAAGAGTAGATCATAAATTCAAGCTCAGCCTGGGCAATTCAGCAAGAACTTGTCTCAAAATAAAATTATAAAAGGGGTTGAGAATGTAGCTCAAGGGCACAGCATCCCTGGGTCCAATCATCAGTATCAAAAATGAAAAGAAAAAAATGATTCAAATATAAAATTATTTCACTTTTCTTAAAAACTCTCAAACTAAGACTTGCTTATAAGTTTAATGTTGCTGTTATCCATTGTTAATATGGCTTTATTAAATAAGAAGATAAGATAAAGTGTCAAGATAAACTGATAAAAGTAGAATCAGAAAGCCTAAAGTGTCCACAGAATCTCCTCTTCCAAGGCCAGGCGAGGCGACATACACCTGTAATCCCAGCACTCAGAAGATACAGGCAGGAGAATTGCCATGAGTTTAAGGCCAGCCTAGGCTACATAGTGAGACCCTGTCTCAAAAAACAAAAAACAAACAGAATCTCCTCTTTCAACCATTTTAAATAATTAGGTAACTGTACTGCCTAATTATGAAATGAAAAGACATTCAACACAGTATTCATAGCTTACTACAAATCCTTTTTTTCATAAAATTACTTTCAAGAAAAGGCAGTAAATTGAAATTAGTTAAAATGTAATAATTTCACTCTTCAAATAAAACCATTAAGGTTATCAAAAGGCAAGGCGAAAGATATGCAAAAGCATATATTCAACAAAGACATGTATTGATAATATATAAGAAATTCTAACATTCAATAAGACAAATTCTGTTTAAAAACCAGAATGAGAAGTCAGGCATGGTGGCACACACCTGTAAATCCCAGCACTCTGGGAGACTGGGGCAAGAAGATCCAAAATTCAAGCTCAGCCTTGGCAATTAGCAAGACCCTGTCTCAAAACAAAAAATAAAAACAGGACTGGGCATGCAGCTCATTGTGAAGGCCCTGGGAGAAAAGGAGTCAGCAGCTCTACAGTGACATATGCCCCTACTCCCAGCACTGGGAGAATAAGGTAGGAAGACCTCAAATTTGAGGCCAGCCTGGGCTCCCTAAGGAGTTCAAGGCCATCCTGAAATACATAGTGAAACCCTGACTCAAAAAATACAAATAAAAATCAAAGAGGGGGCTGGCAGTTTCAACCAGTGGCAGAGCTGGCCTAAGGTTCTGAGTTCAATACTCAGGACCTTAAAAACAAAATTGGCTACAGATTTGGACACATTGCAAAAGATACGGGAAAGATATAAATAGCCAAAGGTAAATGAAAAAACACTCAACATAAAACCACAGTAAGATATTACTATGCATACTAAGTTTTGGAGAGGCTGTGGAACAAATGGAACTTTCATGCACTGATGTCGGAATGTAAAATGTTATCACTTTGGAAAAGAGGCTGGCAGTATTTGTTTGTTTTTTTTTTAAGTAAACATATACAGTACCTACCTTATCCAGATATTTCTCTCCCAGAGATTAAACAAGTCAAATGAAAGCATATGTTCATACAAAAAAGATTTCTCTCAAGATTTGTCATAAGCAAGAACAATGGAAACAACCCAAATGACTGTCAACAACTGACTGCATAAAGTGTGGTGTATTCTTAATAAGGGAAAAACTACTCAGCAATAAAAAAGGAATTAACGGGCCGGGGATTTAGCTCAGCGGTTCAGTGGCCTACCTTGCCAGCACAAGGACCACAGTTCAATCCCCAGTACCAAAAAAAAAACAGGAATTAACTAGTAATACATGCTAAAATCATAGAGTCTCAAAAATAATTATGTTGAGCAAAAGAAGTCAAACACTTCCCAAATGAGCATACATACTTCTATTAGAAAAATTCTACATAATACAAACTAATAATGACAGAAACAAGATCAGTGGTTGCCTTAATTGGAAATTCTGACACTGTATTATAAGGGCAAGAGGACAGAGAAAGAAGAGAAATTAAGCAGTTAACCACTGAAATCTCTCTCTTCAAAAAGAACAACAACAAAAACTCTCTTACCTTTCTAAATGTATGCTGAATGTTTAACCCAAGGCCCATATTGGTAGAAGTTTACAAAAAAACTGTCCAGATTAATAATCATAATCCAGAAACAGAAGCAATAAAAACTTTTATGTTCCTCTTCTTCCACTTTTTATTTTTCTCCTTTTTTTTTTTTCTTGTTTTGTATTGGGGCTTTTAAACCTAGGAGCCTCTCTCATGCAAGGCAGGTGCTCTACTACAGCCCTAGCCGCTTTATTTTGAGACAGGGTCTCCTTAAGAATGAAAAATACGTATGGACTGTCTAGACCATCCTCCTAACCTAAAGCTTTCCCTACTTTGAATTGTATAGCCCTGCTTATCTACAGTCAATGTAAATTCATGTACACAATCCATGTACTCCTTCCTCAAATTTTACTGTAAAAAGGCAGACAAGCTTATATTTCACAGAGGTCCAAGCAACACAGTTCAAACTGCTACTTAGCCATTCTGCTGTTACGTTGCAAAGCCTTGTCCAGACCTCAGTCCTTTCTTCTTTTTTTAGCCAGCCTATGTAACGGCCCAATAAACCCTATCATTTCAAAGAACTCCCCGTTTTAGGAGTTTTGATTTAACATGGGTGATGAGGTTATGTGTGTTTAGTTTACTAGGATATATGTGTGTATAGTCAAAATTTATCTAACTGTACACCTGAAAGTTTACTGTATGCTAAACTCAATAAACATGAAAAGTCCACAATAAAAGTCATTTTAAAAACAAAAACAAGAAACTCTGACTCCCAGTCTCAGGGTCGACCCATTTCACCGCTGAACCGCCCCTCCTACTCCTTGGCGTTGCTCCATCTCGAGACCCACCTCGTCTCTTCTCCCCTTTCCTCTCCACCTCAGAGGAAGGCGGAATCCCAAAAGGTTCATAACTTCTCATTAAGCTTCGAAGTACTGTCCACTGTATTACATGCCCTCCGTTCCCGCCAGAGAAGCCTCATGCTTGCCTTCCCGTTGTCAATATTGAGCCCTATAGAAGCAGTGAAGAGGGTCTCTCATCCACTCCCTCCCGTCCGTGTTCCCAAACACCCATCCACCAAATTCCTCCGACCCGACACACTTTTGTCTTGAAATACCGCTAACAGGCCCCAAACCAGCGAAAGTTGCGTTCTGCAGCCGGCCCACCCCCGGGCCCGCCGGAGCGTGGGGATTCGAACACCCCTCTCCTAGGTTACCTGCCACCGGCTGGCCGCGCCGCGGACAATTCAGCCACCGCGGCGGGATCTTGTTGTGAGCCATGTCTTGGGTCCGCGCAGAGCCGACTTGCGCAGCTGCCTACAAGAGGTGCGGTGGGGACCACAGGTCCAAGGCACCCGAATCCCCACCAGGATCCGAACGCCACCCGCTCCTATCCGGTACCGATAAGACCGGCGCGCCACTTTCATTCATGAGCCAGGGCTCTAGCAGAGCCCACAATGCACCGCGACTTCCGCCCCTGAAGGCCCGCCCCCTCCTTTCCGAGGTCAGAGGGGAAGAAAGCTTAGTGTCGGAATAACAAGAGGAGTTAAAGCCTCGGCGAATGGGCGGAACCGGTGCCCCTTCGCCCCGCCCCGCGGCGGATTTTTTTTTTTTTTTTTAATTCGTCTATGCGCTTGCGCAACTGCTCCCTTTGGGAACCTGGCGGGCAAGGTTTGTTCCCCCCGACCCACCTAACCGAGGACGCGGAGACTTCCAATAGTGTAAGAAGCCAAGCATTTTAGCGTGCGTGGGTTTGTCGGCAGCTTTATTTTGTTTTGTTTTGTTTTGTTTTTTGAGACAGGTCTCATTATATAGTTCAGGCTGGCCTTAAACTCACTATGTAGTCCGCGCTGGTCTCGAACTCTCCGCGATCCTCCTGCCTTCGGAGTGCTGGTTTTAGTCCTGCGCCATCACACCCTGTTGTCCGCAACTCTTCAAGACACCTGTTTTACTGACGAAAGGGTCCTTCCCACCTTGGTGTCCCCGTCAGTTCTGGGTTTGATTTAACATTTTTTAAAGTTCTCATGAGGATTAGGGGGACCAATTTTAGAGAAATTCTAAGGGGGAGATGTCAGAGTACCAAAATGAGAAATTTCTCTTTTGGAGGGGATTAGTTCATTAGTCCATTAAGTATCTGAAATTAATTCTAAAGCATTTTAGAGTTTTGTTTGTACATTTCTACAGCCAAGTTTCAAAACATGTTTGAGAGTTTTAGAAGGTCTGTGTCAAAAAGAATGTTATTAATTATTGCATATAATTGTCAAAGGTCGGAAGTAGCCAGTGGACTACCACTATGTGGCAGTGTTCTTTGCCTACCAAATAAATAGTTCCTTTTGTTCCCCTTATAGTTAACCCCAGTTCTTGGAAGCATTTTATAAATGTTCTAGAATGAGACTTTCTTCGGTTACCAGGCAAAATTAGTTAAAGTATTAAATATAAATCTAGATGATGGTTAATTAATTATAATGGAACTTAGACTTTAAGCACCATTTCTGTATTTGAGCTATGAGGCTGCAGGGAATATATTTTTTAAGTATCAGTAGGAATTTTCTGGGCAGCTCAGTCCTGAATGTCCGGACCCTCTCAGTAAGAGGATTCTTTTATAAATATATAAAGCCCAATAGCTATCTCCTTGTGTTAAATCACATTCTTGGTCTATCCCAGAGTTTCATTTGTTTAGAACTTTCAGTGAGAGTGCAAAATGACAGGACACGACCCAGTTTCCTTACGGACCAACAATCTACTCAAATGATGCCCAATTAATTCCTTTATTTGCTGCCAGAGTAGAGTATGTACCATACACAAAATGATTAAATGTTTGAGCCCCAAGTCCCCATTAAGGATGAGAAAGGTGGCCCTAGTCTCATAGACTGGCATCTTAGCTTTCCTCCTAGGGACAACCCCTTACAGGCTCGTCCCTATGTGAACAGGAAGGAGGGGATCATGAACTCAAAAGTCCAAGGTTTATTAGTAAGCCTGAGAGGGACCTCTCTATGCAAGCGAAACAGAAAGTGCCTTTTACAGGCTGAGGTTTTTTTTTACAGGGTTTTTGGCAGGCTTTTGAGGGGATGGGCCAGAGAAACAGCAATCTGATGTGTCCTCTGTGTCTTGCATGACCTGCTGACATGTTGTCTTAGTTTTCTCTCATTGTTGAGATAAAATGTGCCACACCCAAAGTTAAAGGAGAAAAGGTTCTATAGTTTATAGAGGTTTTGGTCCATATTCATATTGTCCCTAAAGCAGGGTGGCACATGGCAGAAGGGCAACAGCTCATGACAGTGGAAGACAACAAAAGCAACAAGGGAACCTTAACAGCGTTTTTTCTGCCCCTTTTATCCATACCACCAGGGTGGCACCAAATCAATCAGTGGACTAATTTAGTAATCATACAACCTTAAACCCAATGTCACACACAGTAGAGATTCAGCCACCTCTAAAAAAGTCCTGTGACCACATTTAGCTTTGGGCAGACATCTAGACACAAGCTGTAACTCATAACCTGATGAACACGTCCTCTGTGACATACAGGCATCCTTGGGGGACTCTTCCTGTGTCCTCTGTGACCTAAGTAAAATGAAACCTATGTTTCTCTGAAGTGGAGAAGGTGGGCTCATTCAAACTGGCATTGACCCTGTCCAGGTTCAGTCCCTGTACACACCATATATATAGGGATGATACGATATAGGGGAAATATTAGAACCAGTTAGATGTCTGATATGCCAAGTTTACATTCTCTAAAATAAAAGAGTGAATTCTAGGAACAATGGAAGTTAAAAGTAGGAAATATTGAGGGATAGATACCTCTTGCCTGAGAGGGACAGGAGGGGACCAGGAAAATGGGTTGCCACAGACTCCACTTACATGGGAACCTTTATAGAGCAAAATCATGAGGTCAGTACACAATCATGGGGTGGGTACAAAAGAGGACAAAACTATCTATGATCAATAAGATTACAAGTATTGTCACTTAGGTAATATTGCTCTAATGGGGAAATAAGTACATAGCAACTGTACATAGAAAGAACAAGGACCTTTCCTGGAAGGGATGGGTCAGGAGGTCTTGGTTTCCCACCCAAGATGATTGATGCCTATTTAGAATATCAATCATTGTTCATCCCTTGGGGAAGTATATAGATCATTATTATTCATCCCTTGGGGAACTATGCAGATGTAGTGATACTGTCTATCTTGAGGCCTGGCCTTCAATTAATGTGCATCCAGCCACTGTTGTAATATGTTCTTCTTTTCTGTACTGACTTCTTCAAGGGCCTAGCCTTGTCTGACTACCTATATTACCAATTAATTTAGCTATATATAATATTTTCCCCTCTGAAGAGTCACCCCTAACTGCTATGAGGGGCCAAGGGGCAAAGACCGTTCTAGCTACTCCTGGCTGAAGGGAGTCATAGTTGTGATCAGCAGTCAGAGATACTCTACAGAGGGTCTATCTAAAGGCCCTCAATAGACACCAGGTATTCTCATCTTGGGTAGGTGTATAGCTTTATGTTTGGAGAGGGCAAGGCCATAAAGTATGCATGGGCCAAATAATAAGAACAACAAGACTGTTATGAATATGACCAACAAAAGTCTCCACCAAGAAGAGCCAGTAATAGCCACAAAGAGGATAAAGAAAAGGTCCAAGGAATTTCAGAGTCTGACACTGCATTAAACTGTCATTTAATATCTTCAACAGCCATCAAGATATTAGTAGAAGGATCACAAATGTACACACAATATTCAGATTTTATAATTGCACAAGACCCTCCTTGTGCTGCTGTTAGAATGTCTAATGCCATCTGATTTTGGATGACAGCTTGCCTTATTAATCTTACTTCATTCAGGAGAGAGAGACCAGTCACAGTGTCATTTAGAGTCCCTTGACTAGAGTTAGTCAAGGCCACCATGTGTTACATGACATCCTCTCATCCTAGGGAAAGGATAAAAATAAATGATCATACCAGAGAATCACTTCTAGACCATTGTTGTCTTAGATTGGTAAGATTGCAGTTTGTTGATGCTTTTGATTCTCCTGCCTTGTAACCATGCAAATCCAAGTGTGCATCTACCTATCCATCTGGGGGAAGCCAGGGCCACAAATTGTTTCCACAGGACTAATGATGCCTTTGAGAGATTCCCATCTAACTCCAGGGTGATTAAATCAGTCTGTTGCAAACCAGTCTTCTGCCTGTAAAATTATGGTATGTATACACTTCTCAGGAGGTGTCCATCCCAAATATTTAGTAGATTTAGGGCAATGAGAATAGGAGTGATTTCTCTGTTCCCAATATGAGGGGACCCTTCTACTAAGGGTCCTGTAGTGGGGGTTGACCATGTATAATCATCCCATATCTGAAAATAGCCATCTTGTTAGTTATGATTTTTGGCCCCATGATACGACCCTTACTTTTACTTAATAAGGATTTTACTAGAGTCTTAATAAGGGTTTTACTAGAGTCCATAGAGAGGTTTCAGTGGTGGTGTTAGAAAAAGTTCAATTATGTCATTAAGGATATTAAGGATATAGTTTATAGGCCATTTATTTACCGTGTAACAGTTACCTAAACTATGAACCACTGGACTCTTTCATGTCTCATCAATATAATTTTGTAGTTTTTCCAGTCATCTCCATAAAGTGGGAATATCCACCAAGAAAGTCCTATGTACTTGACAAGGGGAGCAGGCCACATATCTGCAAGATGTTTGTTGTAACAACAACTCTGCATATTCCTGTGCCCATACTAGAAAGGAATTGCACTCTCCTTTAAGTGATGAAATGATAAAAAGGACTAAAAATAACATCTTAGATTACTTATCTGAAGGCTTTGCTTTCTTTTTGAACTAGAATTTAAAGTCTTCTAAGGGTTCACAGGAGTATTTGGATGTTGGCTCATACTCAGTGATAGTTTCTGGTTTCTAAGGCTTGAACTGGGTGTGTCCAGGAGTCCAGGCCTTCTACCTTGACAGCTGATGGAGTTGACAAGATCACAGTGTATGATCCTTCCCAAGTTAGTCATAGGGAAGGAGATGATGAGGAAAAAGACTTTACCAGTACTAAATCTCTGGAGTAGAATATGAGATTTCCCCTCTCTTTAGGCTGAGCTTCTGTCAGCTGTTGACGAATCTGTTGGAATTTAGCCAGTGAAGTGACATCTTTTAGTAAGGCACCTATTTATCTACTGAAGAGAAAATCATTAGTGAGAAAAGGGCATCCATAAAGCACTTCAAAAGGACTATGGCCTAGAATTTGAGGTGTATGTCTTACTTTGATAAGAGGTAAAGTTAGTAAGTAAGGCCACTGTAGGTGGGTTCCCTGAATTTCTTGTGAAGATATACATCTCTTTAGGGCCTCATTCATTTTCTTTACCTTTCCAGATGATTGTAGCTTCCTTGCATGGTAAAGGTTATAGAGAATATCTAGTGCCTGAGACACACCCTGTGTGACTATTGTCTTAAAAGAAGGTCAATTATTACTCTGTAAGCCCTTAGGAAGTCCAAATCTGGGGATAATTTCTGAGACCAAAACCTTTACCACTTCTTGTGCCTTTTCTGTTCTACAAGGAAAGGTGTCAACCCATTTTGTGAAAGTATCTGCCCAATGGCCAAGGATTTAGCTCAGTGGTTCTACCACCTGTCTCACAAGTGCAAGGGCCTGAGATTGATCCCCAGTACCAAAAAAAGGAAAATTATCTGCCCAGAACAATAAGAATCAGGGCTGAGGATTTGGCTCAGTGGTTCCACCACCTGCCTCTGAAGCGGAAGGTCCTGACTTTGATACCCTGTACCAAAAACAAACGAACAGTAAATATTGGAGTCCTTTACTCTTCTCACATGAGTAAAATTGAGTTGCCAATCTTCTCCAGGGCATTTACCATTTCTCTGTATACTTGGAGGCCTATGGTTAAGAGGATTGTTCTTTTATCAGAGCTCCCATATCTTAACTATCTGTTGTATTGTCTGAGAAAGTCCCTTTCCGGTGAATAACTTTGAGGCCATCTGGTGTATCTTGTCTCTCCCTAAGTGAAAGTTTTGATGTAAAGACTTAATAATTTTCCACTGACTAGCACCACGAAGGTACAATTTACCATCATCTGATTTTAACCATCCTGATGGAAGGAACTGACACCCATGGGAAAGAGCCCATTTAATTTCTAGCTGAGTATAATAGAGTCAAGTATGATGAAGGGACCATTCACAACTCAAGGGGGCCTTAAGGGGGGCTTCTAACAGCTGCATTTCCAGCTGCATCAGCTGTTTGATTACCTTGAGATATTTTGTCAACTCCTTTTATTGGTGTCCTCTACAGTCACTACTGCCATTTTGGAGGGCATATAGACAGATGATAAAAGTTAATCTATCTCTTTATGATAACTTTATGGGAGATCCATTGGCCATCAGATAATTTCTTTCTTTCCATATTGCTGCATGGGCATGTAATACTAGGAAAGCATACTTTGAATCAGTAGTTGTAAAGCTCTGGTCAAAGCTATGAATTTTGCTACCTGAGCACTAGTCCCAAGGACAAGTGAGAAACTTTCACCTCTGATGTAGAGTCACTACTTCATACACTGCCTTTCTTGTCCCATTTTCCATGAAGGAAAAAGCCATCAGAGAAGGGGGTCAAATCAGAGTCAGTAGGAGGTGGGTCTAACAAGTCTCTGACTGTATGTATGTATGTATGTATGTATGTCTTTCAGCCTCAATTTCCTTGTTTTCTGATAGCAAGGTGGCAGGGTTTAAGAAGAAACATGCTTTTATTCAGATGGCTGGTCCTTCTAGAAGTAAAGCCTGGTGTTTAAGAAGTCAGTTGTCTGATAGCCATAACTCCCTTTAAAAGAAAGTAGTCCTGCCACATTGTGTGGTATATATACAAGATCTTTGCCTAAAGTCAGCTTGTATGCCTCTGGCACTAAGCTACTGCAGTTACAGCTCCAAAGCATGCAGGCCATCCCTTTTCTAGAATGTCTAATTCATGGCTCAGATACTGTACAAGCTCTTGAGCAAGACCTCAATCCTGCATGAGCACTCCCAAAGCCATGCCCTTCCTTTCATCAATATACAGATTGAAATGGTGTCCTGTCAATAGTCTCAATGCTGGGACATTTAGAAGCACTTATTTAAGCTTCTGGAATGCAGTTTGGGAATCAGGTTCCTAGGTTTAAATATGTGTATCTGCCTTTTAGGCTTCCTTTATATGGCAGGGTCATGAGATCTCACCATACCCTGCTATCCAAAGGTGACACAATCAGATCAGAAAGGAAACTGAGGCAGAGAAAACTCAACATTCTCCCTAGGGAATGTGCAGGGGCAATTGGAGCCGGTTTGTTCCAGTGAAACCTGTCCCCCAAGTTTTAATAATGGCTGCCAGCCTATTGCCTTTTAACTGGCAGATGGGGGTCCTGTGATTTACTAATAGGCATGTATATTTCCTAAATATGAACTAGATTTCATAAAAAGACCCATTTTATAGGATTTCATATCAAAGTCCAGAGGAGACATTCTCTCACTACTTTTTCCTAGCATGCTGCCTAAGATAAGATAACAAAATACAATAGACAGGTCAACAAGGAACACTAGTAAGTTCAGCAACTAAGTCCAAACACAGTATGCAAAAAACAGGAATAAAATGTCTCATCAAGGAAACATTATAATTTTCCCATATTCTCAAATGTACCTCGTTTTAACAAAAGACAATGCATTAAAAAGAAGGCATAAAATTTCAAGACACAAGTAATTGACAAAGAAAGGCATAAAAATTCAAGGCACAAACAGTAGACAAACCAGCATGACAATTTTTGATTATGTTAAGAGTCACAATCCAGAATCTATGAAATAAAGTAAACTCTTACCTCCTTCCAGTTATCTTGGTGGGGCCTCCAAAATGATATAGGGATGACATAGGGATCTCAAAATGTTATAAGGGAAATATTATGTCTTAACCTGTTAAATGTCTGATATGCCAAGTTCATGTTCTCTAAACTCAAAGAATGAATTCTAGGAACAATGGAAATTAAAAGTAGGAAATATTTATTGAGGGATAGATACCTACTGACTGAGAGGGACAGGAGGGGACCTGGAAAGTGGGTTGCCACAGACTCCACTTAACATGGGATGCTTTATAGAGCAAAATCATAAGATCAGTATACAATCATGGGGTGGGTACAAGAGAGGACAAAACTTATCTATGATTGATAAGATTACAAGTATAGTCACTTAGGAAATTTTGATCTAATGGGGAAATAAGTTACATAGCAACTGTACATAGAAAGAACAAGGACCTTTCCTGGAAGGGATGGGTCAGGAGGTCTTGGTTTCCCACCCAAGATGACTGATGCCTATTTAGAATATCAATCATTATTATTCATCCCTTGGGGAAATATGTAGATCATCATTCATCCATTGGTGAAGCATGGTTGCATGGTTGTAGTCATTCCATTTCTATCTTGAGGCCTTCAATGAATGTGCCTCCAGACACAGTTGTAATGTTTTCTTATCTTCTACACTTACTTCTTTGAGGGCCTAGCCCTAAGTGCCTATAATACCTCTAATTAACTTGCTGTCTATAATAATATCTAGCCAGGGATAGGAGTCCTAGGCAAGTGGAGAACATAGCACTAATCAGCAGCTGTTATTGACTATAAGGTAGTAGTGTGTAATTTTTACACTATCAGTAATTTTATAACTATCAGTTATATTCTCTCCATCCTGAGTACCACAGATTGGGAGGCCCTGTGGTTCCCACTTGCCACAGTATAGGGTAAAATAGAAAGGTGGCTTCCAAGTAAGCAGATGTCTCTCTCCCTATAGGAATCCCTTACCTGATAGTGTTTCTGCCTAAATGTCTCCTTGTTTCAGGTCTCTTATTATTCAGTGATAAGAAAAGCAGATGCCCACAGAGGACCATCATGGCTCTTCCTTGAACTTCATGGCTCTTCCTAGAACCCTCAATTCACCTTTCCAGGTATGTCTTGGTCTCCTCTTTATTAGCTGTAAGTTTTCTGCACAGGTAAATTCTTCAGTGGAACATCTGTTTGCCCATAAGAAAGGGAAGGATGAATAAAAATAATTTTCCTATTAGTGAAAGGGAATTTTCCTTTCAGCAATTCTTTTGAGGAAATTTGTATTCATAAATCATCTTCATCTTAATATGTATATAAATCTTCTAAAAGCTGAGTGAACCTCTTACCTTTTTTTCAAGCCTGGGCCTGAGTGGTATCGCTTTTAAATGTAAACGTCAAGGAAGATAGTGACCCTCTCTCCCTGTGACCTTGGGAGCTTAGCCTTCCCATTTGTTCCACAGCTGTAATCCACAGTTTTGTCTAAGAGATAAGAAAGTTTTTGTTTTTCCTTCAGATAATGGTAATCAAGTAACCCAGGTGGCCACTCCAATTACCAATCAAACTTCACAGAAGAACACGTTATGTTCATTTTGAGAACATTTAGGTAAAGGATTGTATGTGCTTGGATCTGTAAGGGTGAGATTTCTCTCTCTGTCTTTGAAATCTCATTAGCAGATTGCCTGTGTGGTGCATCATGGCCCGATTTAAAGTTTATTCAATAATGAAACTCTTTCTTTCTTTCTCATATCGGAGGGTTGGCGGAGTTTACTCCCAATTTTCCCCCAGTGCCTGTTCATGTCCCCCTCAAAAGTTATTACAGAAATGTGCCCCTCTCTGAACTGAACAGTGCTCTCCAGGCTTTGCTCATAGGGGGTCAGTTTCACATTCCATGCTTCTCTAGAAATGGTTGATTAAGGTCTGCCCCTGTTTTTACTCATCACCAAGTCCCTAGGGAAGTGCTGGTGAACCTTTTTCAAGTTTTCCATGATACAGTCCACTGCAACATGGACTGGTTCGCCACCACTGCCCTAGAGTGTGTAGAGGATGTTCTCATCTGGCTCTCAAAAGCCAGCAAAGTGTCAGAGAAGGACATCAGCTTTTTAAAAAAATCAATCCTCATCTTCCTTAGCTGACAGAGATTAAGGTGATGTCTACTTGGGCCTCACTCCCTTTTTCATACTAGTGACCCAGCATCTCCGCTTCCTGCCTGTACTGTCCAGCTTCAGAGACTGAGTTAGTTTAAATGTGGAGCAGAGAGGAACAAGAGTCATGTCTCACATAGAGTTTACATTATAAACTCAAAGTACTGGGCAAAACAAAACATTCAAAATTATCCTTCATGGTTGTTTCTTCCTGTGAGCACTAAAGTCATTGGCATTCAGGGCCATGTTGTAAAAGAAAAAAGTAATCTTTGAATAAAATGACATTTTTCACAGCCAGGTGCTCTTCTCCAAGAGATGTTTTACATTTTACTCCATGGAACAGGCTCAAGGAGAAAAACAACTAGCAGTCTGTCCTACTTACCTACAGATGTACAGGTGGATTTGTATGAGATGAATGTGAGCTCAACATTATTGCATTACACCCCATTGATACCTGCCAACAGCTATTCTAATGTTATAAACCAAGACAAGATTTACCATGAGATTCTTACTTGTATGAACTCTTTCCAAGGCTTAATAGGTATGTGTAAACTTATGTCCTTCATCTTTTTTTACCCTGGACCTCATATGTGCTAGGTAAGTGCTCTTCTATTAACTGGCTCTGTGCATTCTCACTCTATCAGGAGAATCAGACAAGTGCACTGTGGCACAGAAACAAGGGAGAGTATCATGGGAGATAAGAACCCCAGATGGACCCAAACAAAGTCAGATGTTTACAGCTCTTACGGCATCTGTGGAGTAGGCAAGGACTTGATACCATTTCGTGCAGAGATGGAGGTTTAGTTGTGCCTGTGCCCTTCTTTATCACACCTCTACATGTGATGCATGTCTCATTACCATTTTGTCTCCTCCTCAGAGGATAATTTTTACTATGCTAATAAAGTAAAGGCAACTAGAAATTACTTTAGTGAATGAATACACATGTGTTTGTCCCTTGCCACCCTTATCTTCTGGGAAAGCCCCTAGATGGATTCTAGAACAGGACAGGTCATTCTCCTGCCTCAGTGGGTTTGATCTTAATGATCTTATTTTCTTTTTTGAGAGGAGGGTATCGGGGATTGAACTCAGGACCTTGCATTTGCAAGGCAGGTGCTGGAACCACTGAGCTAAATCCCCAGCCCCAGTGATCTTACTTTCTTGACCACATAGTCTTTGAAGGCTGAATGGACTTATCCTCCTGTCTCCAGGAATGTTCCCTTAATTTCACAACACTCTTGTTTATTTGATTGTTTGCTTTTGGTTTTTTGAGCTAGGGTCCTCTATATAGTTCAGGCTGGCTTTGAACTCTGTGCAGCCCAAGCTGGCCTCAAAGTCATGGTGAGAGCCTCCTGCCTCAGTTCCCAGTTACTGGGATTACAGGCATGCACCATCATACTCAAATAGGCCCACTTAACTCCCAATTTTCCATATTTGTTAACCTTATAAGACTGAAGGCTTTCTTGCTACCACTTAGCTCTCTCACTACCAGAGAACTACATCCTTTGGTCTTTTTGTAAAATTTTATTTTTGAACAGGTTTTTCTAAATTGCCCAAGCTGGCCTCAAACTTGTGATCCTACTGCCTCAACCTCCACAGTCACTGAGATTACAAACCTGTAACACAGTGCCCAGTTTATGCCCTTATTTTTATAAAGGGCTGTCCCACAAGTTCAAGCAGAAGTAAGTCTACCCCCAAAAGGAATCAGAGCACCTCTGATAGCATAGAATGTGCTCTTATTTGGAAACAGACTCTGAACATAGGTAATCAAGTTAAAATGAGGTCATTAGAGCCTGGTGCAGAGGCACATGCTCATATTCCTCGCTACTCAGGAGGCTGAGGTTGCACTATTTTGAGGCCAGCCTGGCAACAGAGCAAGATCCCTGTTTCAGTTTAAAAAAAAAAATTGAGTTCATTAGGGTGGGCTCTAGTTCAACATGATTGGTATCAGCAAAATGGGGAATTTGGATATAGAGACAATGCTCACATAGGAAAAGATTATGTGCAAATACTCAGCAAGAATATGAGATCAGAGTGTTGTACGGTTTTACTTTTCTTACTGTGAAGACAAATTACCCAACACCCAAAGTTAAGGAGGAAAGATTTATTTCAGCTCACTTCATAGAAGTTTTGGTCCATAGTCAGCTGGTTCCAAGGCAGGGTGGCACGGCACAGGGGCATCACAGAGGAGAAACAGTTCATGGCAAAGTAGGGCAGGCAGAAGCAAAGCTTCAAAGTAGTAGCAGAAGCAAAACAGTGGCAAGCCTGTTTTCTGTCCCTGATGTTCCATCTAAACTATCCCTCCTTTGGGTAGTTAGCACTCACACCCAGGATGGGACAACCTTTCTCCCAGCATCGCATCCTAGACCCAGCCACCTCCAAAAAGTCCCACCTATGACTGCATGAGGCTTTCAGGAGACATCTCGATACAAGCCACAACATGTACCTGCAAGCAAAGGAAAACCAAGGGTTTCTGACAACACAGATGCCAGAGGAGACAGGAAGAATTCTTCCCCACAGCTGTCAGAGGGAACACCTTCATTCCAGACTTTTATCCTCCAAAACTCTGATAATATTTTTTTTTATTGTTTTAAATCACCTGGCTTTGGGTACTTTTTTACAACACTCCTAGGAAACTAATGCAAGGCCCTACAAAACATGGCTCTGTGCCCTGTTCTAACCCATGTTTTCTAATTCTAAAGCTCCTGCATCCCATGCTGTCTGAGCTAGCAGCTCTTACTTTAGTATAAATGCAGTCACCTTTTCCCAAGCAATTTTGTTTTTTATTTTTTGAGGCAGAGTCTCACTATGTAGTTCACACTGGCCTTGAACTCACTATGTAGTTCAGACTTACCTTGAACTCGTGAGGATCCTCCTGTCTCAGCCTCCCAAGTGGTAGAATTACAGGTATGCATCACTATGCCCAGCTCCTCCCAAGTTCTTGTAAACTGGCACACTCTTCAGCTTTTTTTTTTAACAAAATAATACTTTAACATACAGCTCTGGTATACATGTGACTCTACTAACATGGACCAAACCTGTGTAATGTCACTCTTCAAAGAAATACACAGTCCTGGGCTGGGGATTTAGCTCTGTGGTGCCGCTGCCTGCCTTGCAAGAGCAAGTATCTGAGTTTGATCCCCAGGACCAGAATAAAAATACACAATCCTGAGTTAGTGATCAAATATTCCATACTCTTTGGCATTTTGTGCCTTATGTCTGATTGAAATAACACAGAGGAGAAGTCACCATTTACTTTAAGAGCCCTGAGGTCTTCAGAGGCATCAGCTCTTAGGAATGTGCCTCCACAGGCCTCCCTGACGAGGAATCTAATATCCTGGTCCACCCCTCAGAAAATGCCCTGGAACTCTAGAGGTCCATCTTCCATTAGAGGCCCTCCCCACTGGTATAGTTTTCTACAACTTCCTGGACAAAGTACCTCAAACTGAATGGGTTAAAACAGTGGGAATGTGTTCTTTCACAGTCCTTCAAGCTAAATGTTGTAGGGCCTGTAAGGGGGGAACTGTCCGTGCCTCTTCCAGCTGCTGGTGTCTAATGTACATCTCCCTTGAGAAAATCATGTAGCTTCTTTAGCAAGTTAGAAACTTAGGGTTGGAGGTGCAGCTCAGTGGTGGAGCACTTGCCTAGCATGTGTGAGATCTAGGTTCAAGCCCCAACACTGGGTGGGGGAGATATTGCAGAGAATAAGAAGTGAGCAAACTCGATGTCACTCTCTCTTCTTTCCACCCCAAATCTAAACCAGCCTGAGGATTTGAATGTTTCAGTATCTGGACTTTGTAGAGGTTCCATGTGTGCCCCTAGTGATCAGTGACTTCTAAAGGTCCATGTTCATGTGCACACAGTGGAACCTTAACAAGGTCTCAACATGAGCCAGGTGTGGTGGCATACACCTGTAATCTCAGCATTAGTGAGTCCGAGGTAGGATGATCAAGAGTTGAAGGAAAGCCTGGTCTACATAGCAA